CATTGTATATCATATTATATGTATAATCGTATACAGACTATCATATATGATGTGGAGGAATTTGACAAAATAAAGCCACTCTCAAAGGATCGTGTTGTATCCCCTCTGCCGAGCTGGCATTTTCAATGCTGGAATGAGTCGTGGTTCCGATGGCTGGAATTGACGGATGATGCCCATCCCCCAACTCTGCTTACCTATTTTATATATATATAGGAGAATTCGTTCCAACAATCTCCGAAGCAAATTTGGTGAGCTACATACCATAGGATCTATGAACTCCTCAGTTGGCCCGTATGTCTTGTAAGCTGCTTGCCGGGTTCCACAGTTTTATCCCCAGCACTGAGCAGGTCGACCCAGTCCAAGTCATTGCGTCAGTTCAGGAAAACATCACTACCGACCAATAGGCAAAATAAACAAATGAGAAAAAATGACATGCATACAGTAGCATACATGATTCCATGGACAAACAAACAAACAAACAAACAAACAAACACATGAACATTATATAGTGCAATATAGTCTGTTGAACTTATGAAACATGACACGGTTGCGGTTGCTAGCTACTACTACGAAGCCGCCAAAGGATTAACATTTAAGCATCGAAACCAGCCACCAAAGCTGCGGATTTCCCGGGCCTTGACATGTTTTGTGGGACCCAAAGGAGAATCCAGCTTGAGGTCGCATTCCTCAGCACGCAGGCCGAGAGAGCCAAAGAAAAATGCTGGGAGTTTCACCAACAAAAACTGGTTGGTGGTTGACCTACCCCTCTGAAAAATATTATATAGTCCAGTTGGGATCATTATTGCCAATATATGGGAAAACAAACAATGTTCCAAACCACTAACCAGATGATGCTTAACCAGGCAAAAAATTGCGGATGTGACCAACATCATTTGGGATTTATATAGATTTATGGGGGGGAAAGCCTGAATGGTACCCTGGCCAGATGACCTACAGGGTTACAGGGTGAGGCCCCAAAGTTATGTTTGTTGGTAGTGAAATTGGCCTCACCGTAACAAATCAAAGATTGACCCGGTCAACAAATGAAATTGCGTTTTTTTTACCCTCTCATAATCGACGTGGGCTGGGTCTATATGTATGCCTTTCGATAGCTCAACTCGGTAGCTGCCCAGTAGCTCAAACTACAGCTACTTCTAGAGGCAAACACATGTTCCAAAATCCACTTTGGGGGTTTTGCCTGGCTTTGCAGTGGTATTCATGATACTTATACGTTCCCGAAGCTGGTTTAATGTTAATGTGGAGTGACTGGCGTTATGCTGCTTCCCTACAAGTACCAACCAGAAATATGCACATGGAATCGCCACATGGCAATTTCCAATGGTAACATCATCTTGCAACGATTTTAACATCCCGACACAAACTTCTAACTTCTATGAGTCACTTGCAATATCCTGCAATCATCATCCCATGTACAGGCATGCTATAAAATATATAGTGCCTATTAACTTTCAGCTTCTTTTGGTGGGATTTTCCATGGGAAATCTCGACTTTTTTGAGAAATCCCGATGATCCCGATCAACGGGAAATCCGAGCATTCAATCGGACAATCTGGGTCCGGGCACCGAAAGCAAGCCGCCGTGTTGATGAAGAACGAGAACCTTAAAAGTTGTTGAAGTTTTTCTGCACAGATACCCTCCACCGACATGGCTATGGTAGGCTGATAGCCCATGTAGTTTGATGATTTACCCATTAAGAACTGGTTGGTGGTTGACCTACCCCTCTGAAAAATATGAAAGTCCAGTTGGGATCATTATTCCCAATATATGGAAAAATGATCCAAGTGTTCCAAACCACCAACCAGAGAATGATGATTTTCCATGGCCAACGGTTACATTACCAGAGATTAAGCGAGGAAAGCCACCGATTTCAGCTCTGTACTCTCGGAAAATGTCATCTCCGGGATCAAACTCAGAGTGACCCCCTTTTTTTATTCATCTATTTGTCAATGTCTTGCAAGTCCAAGCATCTTTGACAAATACAAAAAGGGGGGGCTCAAGTTCGAAGTTGCCCCTGGTGAGCCTACCTATCAATCAACTCATAAATCAACTAACCATGACTAACCTATCCACATGACACAATCTGCTAGGCTGCAAAAGCTCAATCTTGGTTCCCCACGCAAAAAGATTTAAACCCACGATATACCGGTTGATTCAGCATCCCTTTCTTTCAAATCCCCATCCCATCGTCACAACTGCTTGATGCCCAATGAAGGATAGTAATTTTAGGTATTCCATTCTTAAATGCGCATCATCGGTAGATTAAACCCAATGTCGGTCGTCCATCATCATCATCCAAGCGGCTCTACAGTGCTTCGAGTGATTCTGGCCACCCACGCAAGCAACACTCACGTCCTGTTCGCTGTCCCCAATGGAGAAAACGGGTGTTCCGCACCAGTTTTTTTGTTTGGATGTTTAGCGCATCCCAAGAAACCGAGGCTTGCCGCACTGCTGAATGTGATTCAACAATATGCATGAATATGTATATATTATATACAAATATATATATATATATATATATGTAGGTATATGTATATGCATACACCACATACAAATTAGACATGGGGGGTGGGATTGATATATAAGTGTATATATATATTGTATAGATGCATATATTTATTTATTTAATCTTATTTATTTAGCTGTACTAAATTACTACACTACTAGCCGTTCATGACATTTAGTTTTACATCTATACATGTAATATATATTCATATGTATATATATATATATATACATTGAGCATGGGGAATGTGGGATATCTATGATCTATGAATGCTTCCCAGGCCATGGCGTTGCCATGTTGTCCATGCGTTCCCATATGTTCCCATCACCATCATCATCATGGGAAATCATGATCTGATTGGATTGGTTTAAGGGAAATCTTACAGGAAAACATTTCCGGAGTTTTTTGAACAAATATAGAGGTTTCCGGTAGAGTTTCCCCTCCAAAACGATGATGATGATGATGATGATGACGATCATCATCATCATTATCATTATCATCGTAGTCTTCAATATGTACTGTATTATTCCTCCTGGCCAAACTAGGAGTAGCTCTCTCTCTCTCTCTCTCTCCATCGCCTTCAGATATTGAAATCCTTGGATTTCCTGGGAAATATAGCTACATTTGTGGTGGCTTTCCGTATATGTGTTCGTTTACTGGAGACTATGTCATTAATATCCAATGACAACGGCATTAATCATGAAGTTCAATAATTAAGGGGTTGTCATTCACCACCATCAACCCCTGGTGAGGGCTTGTGAAACCTTCATTGCTAGGAAGGGTGTCGTTTGGGTGGGCATCCTTCGGTTTCCCTTGGTATGCCGTTAGGGGAGCACACACACATATAATATAATCATAGATATATATATATATACATATCCCCAGTTGTGAATCATCACCAGGCTATCCCCATGTTTGTTCCATCATATGCCCCTTGTATCCCATTATACCAATGGGAATTTCCGGATCCTAAAATGGAGGTACCGTACCATATAAGACCATATTTTGGGGGGATATCCCCTTACATAGCCCTTATATAGGCCTTATATATGCTAGGTACCTCCAATTTAGGATCCTGAAATTCCATGAAATTCCCATTGATTATATATTCCCCATTGACAAACGAGCTCATCTTCACGCAGGGTTCCCTTGGATCGGCATCACAACTCCTGCAGTCCATGCCCTTCGATGGCAGCACAATGCCTCATGGCTGGCGTGGGAATATCGTGGGGGAATGTTATCAAAATATAACGGGATACAATGGGGATATAATAGCGAAATTGTAATATATGGGAACGTAAATAAATACATAAATAAATATATATATATACTATATACCATTTTTATATACATTAAATAAGGGAATGAGTAACATTAAATAACCAACAATATAATCTGGTATATGGGTCATATCACCATTGCTGGTAATCCTTGTGATACCATCACTGATGTGCAAAAACCGATGCTTACCGTATAGAAAACCCCCTAGCAATGGTGAGATCATCCAACTTTTGCCAACACAAGTTGATGGTGATGTGAATGGCTTAATGAACTGGTTAATTACTAATCTGACACTACAATTGTTAATTACTAATGGGTTAATGATGGTTAATTACTAATGGATAAATGAAAATTATGGTTAATTATGGTTAATTATGGTTATATAATTATGGTTAATTATGGTTAATTACCAGCGTTTGCAAATGTCACTACATCGTTCGATGTTTTTCCGGGGATGGCCACAAGTCCCATCCAAACAGTTCTGGAAGCCTCGATGGTGACTGCGTGGTATAGGAGGGAGTATAGGTGGGCATACGTCGTGGGAGTTGGGACAAATATGGAGGTTTTCATGGGAAAACCATGGGAAAACCATAGGAAAACCATAGGAAACCCATAGGAAAATGGAGATTTACCCTCTGGTAAACGTTAACATAACTATAGAAAATCATCATGTTCAATGGGTAAATCCACTATTTCTATGGTCATTTTCAATAGCTATGTTAGTCATAACCAGAGGGTATACTCTGCTGCTCGCGGCGTTTTTTCACCCAAACGAACCGTGCTTTTTGCCAAACGCATCCAGCCACTGCCCGGCGGCCAAGGCTTGCAGGGCGGATCAGAGGAGGAGATCTTTCGTTGACCATCCGATGGCAAATGAATATTCACTTGCAGCAAGCGACAGACCAGTTCATCCCACTAAATTCTCATTTCACTCAACCAGGGGGTCATTCACCCGAATAACAAAGGATTTATGGTAGACCCTGATTCGGGATGAAAATTTCCCCCCAAACGGTTGGCTGCTTGGCTATTGGAGATGCTTTATCATTGCATTACCCTCTGGTTATGACTAACAGTTTGCCATGGAAAATCACCATTTTAATAGCTAAACCATCTGTAAATGGATCATTTTCCATGGCTATGTTAGTCATAACCAGAGGGTAACCAAATTGATCCTTGTTGCTATTGGTTTATGGATTCCTCAGGGGCGCCATGGCGCCCGAATCGGGGCCGCTCCGCATCGCTCCGCTCAGAAGTCGTCCTCGGCATCCGCAAAGGACAGGGCGGTCTTGCGCAGGTTGCGAGGCCGCGCTTCCTGCAGGGAGCGGCTGGGTTTAAGTGAAACATGGGGTACAGTAACATCACCATAGAAAAGTGAAATCTTACTTAAATACTGGTGAATTACTTGTCTATCTTTTTGGGGCGGGGTTACTATACTGAATCCCGTTCAACTTGCATATTAAACACCATTATGTATCATATTAATCATGAATACGAACAGACTAAAATGATCTGAAATGATTCTGTGGTGGGAAAATTCAACATATGATGAGTGAACCCAATAGAACCCAATTGGTCCGCACATTTGCATGTAGTAATTGCATCCAACTAATCCAACACCATATTTTGTAAATTGGACACTTCCTAATTCATTGGAATGGCTCAAGGGACAAAGGAACCCTCCACCCTTTTCTCCTACACCAACCCATTCACTGGCCGAATTGCAATCACTCTAATACTAAGCTGAAAATACTGTAACTGAAATAAGACCATGTGAAGATGATTCCCCGCAAACTAAGCATCATTCCAGTGATGTCACTGTGATGTCATGAAAAAAATCATCCAGGTAATGTCTCTCTCTCCTCAATATATCCCCATCATATAATCCTCATTAACCAAAGGAATATCAATATCCCCTTCGGTATTATCCACTACTATCCCATGACTATCCCATTCATATCACTGCATATCCCATTATATAATTACATATCATTCCTATTAATGTGGTAAGCCCAATACTCAACAATTCCCAAAATCACCATAAATGGGCGGTATAAACCATCCCCAAATGGTAGGTTTATTATTGGGTTGCCCACAATAAACATTAAATTAAATAACCACGGTCCTCCTTCGCTTCCTTTTCATCGCCTTGAAACTTTCGCTTCGACAGCAGCCGCTGCACCGCAGCTTTGGCAAAGTCGTCTTGCGGCGCTGCCAATCTCAGTCTCAGGTGATGCTAGCAGGTAGTGGATGAACTAACCTAGCTGACCCTAGTTGACCCTAGTGAAATGGTAGTTGCCCCAGTTAATTTAATAACATTGGTGTATAATTGGAAATAAGTTCGATTAGGATACATAATAAGTGGCTGTATCATGTATCTGGTAATGTTTCATTGGATTGGCGCACTGGAAAGGCGACAGAAAACACGTCGTTTTTGCATGCGTTTACACTGAGTATTATTGGTGTTCTGCCAATTATCTTTTCATCCCATCGTGGAAGATATTCAAACTCTGCTGTGAGGATGTTGCTCTCTTATTGAAGTATCTTCAAGTGACTTCTGAAGTTGGCTCTATGATCTTGTTTGACCAGTCAAATCTGATCATGCTGTTTGATCTGAATCTGAACAAAAAAAAACAATTCGAGGATGCCCAATTTTGGCCTAGCATGCAGCATCATATATCTTTGAATGAAAAGCAGGATGGAACCCACCAAGAACGGCTCATTTATACCGTGGAATTCTCATGAGAATATGTCTCATGTGTTGAACATATTGGGAATACTTACTTGAAATACATGTTTGAAAGGCATCCATACGATGCATTGCTTGTCGGTCGTGTCGAACTACCAATTTTGGCTGCCACATTGTTTTCAAGTTTGGCAAGCATGCGAATCGGCCGCAACGGACCATGCCATGGGCACAGGCCATAATTACATTCCATGCATGGCACATAAACATACCATGTGTATATACAGTATGTATTATATGTGTATGTGTATATATATATATATGTATGTATGTATGTGTGTGTGCGTGTAGGCATGCGTGTCTGTGTGTATGTGCCATGTATGTATTAATATATATATATATATGTAGACCGATAGAGTTGTTTGCGTTGGATAATTTCGGAAATGCATGCAGGTAAAATGAATCAATAAATTGAACACACACATATATATATATATACATATATATATATATACATATATATATATATACACACGAATATATCTATATGCACATTAATATTTAATAATATGTATATATATATAACTATACACATCTACAAAACCAACAGGGCCTACACCAATCTACACCAATCGAACAATTCGTCCATTTTGGGATAGTTACCGAAATCCGAACCATCAGTGATGTCGCAGTGAGGTACTTTATAATCCATCAAGATCGGTGCATATACACGAAAACGGCCCATACGCATTGACAATTTACTATGAAAAATCGCGGTTTTCTTTTGCAAACTGCTAAAAATCCCAAAGCCCAGTACCCTCTGGTAAACCAACGTAGGAACTGGAAAATCACCATGTTTCATAGGTTAAATCAATAAATCAAAGCTTCAATAGCTGTGTAACAAATCACAGGAGGGTATATGTGATACCACATCCAAGGCGCTTGTTGTCTGTAAGCTCTTCAGTTCCTGGTCGTGCACTCGACTCGGCACCGTCCACATGAAGGCTCGGTCTGGAGATTTGCTTTGGAACTTGGGTGAGGCCCAAGAAAAAGCTGTTTTAGCGGTGGTGAGACCTCCAATTTTGGGGAGCAATAAGAGACAATAAAATTTAGCCATTTAGACTTGATCCATCTTGATCTAAAGCCTATAAGACCTTGAATATGCATGGGGTAAAGTCCCTGTTTGCAGGCATGCGAAACGTACCTGTTAAAGGGAGTCTTTTGGGTAGTCTATGTTTTGCTTGTTTTTTTGGGACTTTTCGTGACAAAACAAAATTGTTTTGATGCTCTTTATTGGATTTTATTGGCCAATCTTAGATACCCTTCAAAAAGTTCTTGTAGCTCATGAGTTTGCAAATACGAAAGTCTCCATCCGATTGGTTCAGGAACAGCCTATGTTTCTGATGGTAAATCCTCAGATGGTGAAATCCCAAATGTCAACCCCGGATCAATAACTCCCAACTGATCCCCAGGGGGGTTTCATCAACAGTCCCAAGGGTTTATTGAGTTTATTGGATGATACTCCGCTATATTCCCATATGTTATACCCATACAATTTTCCCGCGGATCAATCTCCATGTCTGTTGGCTTTTCATCCCATGAAAAAAGAACCCAGGATTTTCCAGCCACTTTTCCCATGACTTTCCTACGATTTCTTCAATTTTCCCATGAGTTTCCTAGGTTTTTCCTTGGATTTCCTTGGTTTTTCTAGTTTTTCCAAGGTTTTCCTAGGATTTCCTACAATTTTCTGAGTTTTTCCTTGGATTTCCTAGGTTTTTCCTATGAAACCACCATGAAACCACCATGAAACCACCATGAAACCAGTATGAAACCAGCCACTTTGCGCCTCCACCTGGCGTTCCGCACCATGCGCTCGTGCCGCGCGCGGATGGCCTCAGCCGTGGGCTCTACGTCCTGGTGGCACGGGAAGAGCAGCTGTTAACCTTTAAAAATGCAGGTTTAATATGGTTTAATGAGGTTTTAATGAAGAAAAAACCTATAAATGGAGGTTCTAATAAAGGATTTATGAGGTTTTAATATCGATATATCATAAAATGCAGATTTTGTATCGTTTTTATGACAGTTTTAGTAGAAAAACTGAGGTTTCTGACGAGGTTTTGAATCGAACACTTAATATAAATAGAGATGTTCGAGGAAAATCAGCTGTAAATGGAGGGTTTGATAGGAAAATCCTCTATAAATGGAGGCGTTAATAATGGGAACATTGAGGAAACGTGGAGGTTCTTCTGGTAGAATCAACTATGAATATAAATGGAGGGTTTTGTAAGAAAATCAAGAATAATTGATGTTTTGAAACAAAAATTTGGTATAAATTAGATGGATCATTTTTACTTGTTTTATTACCAAATATCATGATCTGCCAACACATGTCAAAAGAAAACATGGATGCACATAATAACGTTCTAACAATTGTAACAAAAAAATCAGTATCCATATCAATGATATGAAAATATGCCACAAAAAAAAGGATACACTATCAACATCCATGTAAAATAATTATGTAAATGCACATGATTAAATGTGTTCATAAAATCATTTAAAGCTCTGTCAGATTGCATTCACATTACAATGTCCACATAGATGTTCAATTATCATGAAAATGGTTATTCTGGCCATGTAGACTGGGCGTTTAATTGCCCGAAAAAATGATCTTTACCATAAACATGTTTGTTTTTACATGTTTTTACCAGGGAAAAAATATGGAGATGTCCAGGGATACGGTTAATCAACGTGATTCCACCAACGACAATGGACATATATGCCAACAACACTTGGAATTTTAGCCACGAAAGTTGGGCCTTTTCACCAACGAGGACTTGATCATGACGATTCCCAAGGAAGAAAAACCACACAGTAGCCATGGGCCATGGGGATGCCATATGACACACAACATCAATCCGAATCAAAAAACAAAATCTGACTGACTAACGTGATGGGGTTCCCAGCCCCCACGCCAAAAAAAAAAAAATGTGATTTCGTCTGCCACTCGGCCTGAGCTCCAAATGTAAACGCCAGTTCTTCGCCTATGACCTATATACCAAGAGTATCAATCTCAATGTAGTAAACTCAAAAATCTGCCTTCAAGACCCCACTTCTTCAGGCATAAAATCAAATGAACATAGCGAACATCAGCTATGGACTTAAATGTTCCAGTGTCTTCTAGCAGTGCGGTAACCGCATACCTTGCACCATTGGCAAGGTGGTGGCCCCCAGTTATGGTTGGTACTTAAACCAATTGACTACTTAGATATATTGACCATAAATCCATAAACCCTAGTTGCGGAAAGTTATAAATCTACTTGAAGATTCCGAACTGGGGCACCACCAAAAACCAAACACCATAGCGTCGCATAGAACTGCTTATATACATCATATTATATACATATATATATATGTATATATATATATAGTCCCGTGATATTCCCATTAATATCCCGAATATCCCCATTATGGTATATAGGCCTTGGAGCACCGACTTGTACCACCAAACCCCACCCCGGCGGCCCCTCCTCAGCCCTGGGTTCCGCTAGCCGCGCCCGCGCAGCAGCGAAGAAGGAAGCACCGAGTTGAGAGAAGGCGGCGACGCTGGAATCGTCCAAGATCTGCTTGCGCATCCTGACCGTTGTCAGAATGGGTTCCAAATACCATGGTTAATAAGTCGAAATGGTGGTGAAATGTGAAAACCAGCCATGAACACTTTTTCGAGAAAAACATGGGATACCCTCCTCCTCAGTTTGCGACCTGGAAGAGCTGTTAAGACACCACAGGATAGTTTGATCAATATCATTGTATTATCTATGCATTATATTTAAGTCAACAAATGTCCAGGAGCCATCCGAGGGGATTTTTAATGCTTGTTTCTCAGAATGGCTGGACAATCACCAAAAGGGAAACCCCGATGGTAGTGGACAAAAGGATCTTCAAAAAGAGGGAAGCAATGCTTAGCTATATTCATGATCGTTCTTTTTTCATATGATTTCCCAATCACTAGATGATCATGTGCTTTTTTTCATCCGTTGAAACAAGATAACGGTCGGGAAACTCAATTCGTAGCTCCTTAGCTCCCCATTTAAAAAGACTATCGGACTATGGATACCCACAATATGCGTTTGTTGTGGTATCTTTCTGTTACTATTTGAGCTGCAAGAATATGATGGATCTGTCTTTTCCGTGGCTTTCAAGAAACAACGAACGTGGTTTGATGGACAAACTGCTTTTGAATGAGTATCGAAAGGGTTTTTGAATGGAATTAGAAGATTCGGATAGCCTGAATGTCTTGCTGGTTAGTAAGCATCCTATAAGGAAACAAACACACGCTGTCAAACAATTAAAGACATTAAAGCACTAACATACACATCCGAGCTTGACCCAGTTTTGATGGTTGCTTCCATGTTATTTCACCTGCAAAACGATGTGTGTGTGTGTGCCTCATTCTGATTTGGACATGTTTGAATGTTAAATGACTTTACAATGGGGGTTTATGATTTCACCTGTGCAAGTTTAATTGATTTTAATTGGACATGAGCCGGGATCCTTACCACTAAACAGGGGGGAACATAGGGATGATGAAACCCACAACATGCAAGAATTTCTTGCAAAATCTTACCCCCCCCCCAAAAAAAAATGATATGATGGGCCAGGATGTCCCAAATCACCAAGCCATTATACAATCTACAACATTCATCTATAGCAACTCCGCGAAAACATTACCGTAGAATTATCCTCACCGGCATCATTGGAGTTCACCCAATATTCTACATTTCTACATTATCTTAACTTAGCAATCTTGCTACTCTTGCCATTGCAATTGGATCCAATTCGCAGTTATCCTCTGGTAAACTAACATAGCTATGGAAAATCAATGAAAATCACCATGTTTAATGGGAAAATCCACCATAAATGGTGATTTTCAATAGCTATGTTAAATTACCAGAGGGTATCCCAGCTTCCTCCCAGGGCCAGGGCCCCAGCTGTTTCCAAGTCTCAAGGCTTTCTCCCTCCGCTCGTTGCCCACGTTCGTTGAACCACGTTCGTCGCCATCGCCCACCGACTCCCCGGCAAATTCGTCGTCCGCCATTGGGCCAATGCGCAAGGTGAGTTGAGCTACATAGCTATTGAAAATCACCATTTATAGTGAATTTTCCCATGAAAAATGGTGGATCTTTCCATAGTTATGTAACAAATTACCAGAGGGTACATGTGGACTGACCGTTCCTTAAAAAAAAAAACATGAAAACCCAGCTTGTTTGGATGGGTGTGACCATTGTTGGTGGCAAAAAGAAACTACCCGGGTTCACCCTGGTTCCCCATGGACCCGACTTGAAGATTTTTACCATCCCTAATATCACCATTTCATGGATGGTAACCATCATCCCCAAATGGATCCAAATGGTAGGTCTGGTAGGTCTCTTGTGGGATTTACCACTTTATTTCCAAGGCCTCCCCGACACATTTTGGAATAAGAAGTGTGCTGAATATTTTGGGGGTTGTATACCAAAGAACAAATGCTTAGTTTGGTGCAACTGGAAACCGCGTCTGCCAAAAGCCTGTGGCAACTTCTAGAGTCTTCTGGAGCCTTCTAGAATCTGCAGGCTTGCAGGGTTGCTAGGTCGCTTTGATAGTCCTTGAAGAATCCCAAAAGCTGCAGTCAAAGGAATGGCAAACCCCTGCACCTCTTGGCGGCCTGAAAAATTCCCATCTAGGAACATCAAGGAACGTCTTACCTGGTTGCATGCCACAATCCTGGGCAGTCTTGCAAAAAAAATCGTGAAATTGAAAATTCACCAGAAATCTCCAAGTTGTTTCCCAAATCTCCAAGTTTTTGTCCCAGGAAATATCATCTGAAATAGTGATTTCCCGGACAATTCCAAGATGTTTTTCCCAAGATTTCCGGTACCCCGTGGATCCCACTCTGGCCACATCTGGCCACTCTGGGCTCGTCGCGGCTGTGGGTAAAAGTGCGCCAACAGCTTGGACCTCGCTTGTGAACGACATGTGCCGATCAAAAAAAAAAAACGAAACGACTTGTTATGGTTGCTACCCTCTGGTAAACTAACAAAAAGCTATTGAAAATGGCCATAGAAATAGTGGATTTACCCATTGAAAATGGTGATTTTCAATAGCTATGTTAAATTACCAGAGGGTATGGTGTAAAAAACCAAGTGGGTTGAAAAAATGTACCTGCAACAAATGTGACGAAAAGCATGTGGTGACAACCACCAAGAACTGAGGAACAACTAGGAGCAAGAGCCCATCGTTTCCATAAGGACACCAACTGCACCCTCCTATGCCCTCCTTGTTGGACAGGCTGTGTCTTCCTTTGGGCATCCTACGGTAAACTTAACAAGGAACTCAAAGAGGAACATATTTATCCAGGTTTTTCCGGTGCTAAAACAAACCCCAAATTATCTTTGGAAGCTGGCTGGCAAGAACAAGCACCAACCAACTAGTAGAACTTTTTAATTGTGGATGTGCATCTACTTGGATGATGAAGTGGATGAAGTGGAGGTTGGGATGGAGGGTAAGTGGCTACCCTGATAACCCATGATATATCCCAGTTCAGTGTCAGCTTCCAGGATCATCCAAGGAACATCTTGGGGAGCACCCGGACTTGACGAAATCGAAGCTCCTAAAAAAAAAAATCAGGCACTTCACCAATGAATCTAGCTGCATCTAGCTGCACTATGTTACTATATGAACTCATCACCTAATTAAACAAAGGCCGATGGCTACTTTCCCATAGATCCCACCATGCGTTGAGGTCCGGACCCTTTGGAAGATGCACCTGGACCAACCAGGAAGTCTACCACGGGTCCCCAACTGGGGTTGGAAAATAGCAACCAGGAAGGGGAGAATCCTAATGATAATCTCAAGTAAATGGTCTTCAAAAAAATGGGGATACCTTTCAAACAAGTCACTTCTCTCTCTCTCTCTCTCCTTTGTGTATGCCTATACTGTATATACCACAGTTTTTGCTGGTCAGAGTGCAGTTTCTGGTTGGTGGTTTCAGTTGCCTGCAAAAAATTGTTGGGAATCATCATCCAAAACGAAATGGAAAATGAATGAAAATATGAGCTCACCAGGCAGCTTAAACTTTGGTCTTATCACCATCTAGTCCCAATTTTTGGCTGGCAGAATATCCACATTTTCTGGGTCAACATCCGATTCATCCCGGCGGGAACCTCGAAGCTGCATGTCGTCGCTGTCTGCAACCTTGGCTGAGGAGATAACGTCCAACAAGTGGAGCATGGAGCATTCGGGGGCGGCTATAGGGACCTGATTGGCGTAAAAGGACAGGGAGTTCCAACATAGATACCGGGATCGTAGCCATTCCATATAGGCAAAACCTTCCTGAAAAGTAGTTTGGGACTCAGACTATCATCCTGGGAGAAAACAAAAATAGTTGAAGTTGCCACCCACCTGGATAGAAATTTCGCTCGCATTAAGCCTCTTCAGCTAGGTTATCTAGGTTGTGTTCAGCCAGGTCTGATATTGCTGCAAGTATCCGCATGACTAGAACCAGAATGGCCGTTCTGTCTGCTACACCTTGGGGGCAATCTCCAGGGGGCCCCTGTGGCAACATCATGGAAAATCATGGAAGGTCGTCGCATTTTCCATGGGCTAAATCATCGAACTAAATGGGCAATGGCTACCACAGCTATGTTTATCAAAGGGTAGTGGTTTCAATCACCAAACATCCCTGCGTATGATCACTGCAGATTGGGATGGGCCTGGAAAATGTGAAAAATGTGAACGTGAAACCACCAACCAGTCCGGGTTCCAAATAACAGTGGGGAAATGTGTTTTTTCCAAATGGCTACGGGTCAAAACCAATAGTACCCCTTTTGTTCACATCAAAATAGCTGGGATTGATGGATGTTCATCCCACTAAAAATGGTATTACCCTCTGGTAATTTAACATAGCTATTGAAAACGGCCATTTATAGTGGATTTTCCCATTGAAAATGGTGATTTTCAATAGCTATGTTAAATTACCAGAGGGCAATAGGTATTGATCCATACCCAAATCATTGCACCTGTCCCAGAGTTTTGGACCAACCCAAGTCTATGGGTTGAGGGGTTTGTATACCCCCTTCTCAACCAATCTCCTGCCATTGAAGGGACGGTGTTACAGGAAGCCCCTTCAACTTCAGGCCATTGAAAATTCCATAGAATGTCACACGCCTATAAATCATAATTTCATCCAAAATATCCATGGTATATCCAAATATTCTTGGTTTCAAAAAGCTTAAATATTGGATATCCCATGGTATAAATACTATCCAAATATTATTGGTATATCCCAATTTCTGGGTAAATTAGAATGTTTCAATAACCTGAATAGTTCGGCCATTTAAGGATCATTTCCAGGTTTCGGTCGCGACGTGAGGTCGTGATTTAATTTACCCAGATTATCCATTAACATTCATTATATCCCATAATCTACCCATAATTATCCAGTAATTAGTATTTATATCCATTATTATCCCATAATATCACCATGTTTCGTTATAATTTACCCAGAAATATGCTATTTCTCCATGTTGTTATTGGTTTCATGCCGAACTATCACCAGTTCCATCAGTTCTGCCTCCATATCATCCCCGGACTCCCGACGTCGCTCTGCAATTCGGCGGCCTCAAAGGCTCCCCAGATAGCAACACAGGACCCGGGTGCGATCAGTAGGGCGTACTTGAAAAGTTAATCCCCTCACCCTAAGATTTTCAACACCCCTAAATGAAACCATGGTTTAGTAGGGAATTTCCTCAGAATTAATTTAAAAAAAGAATAGGGGTGTTTAATATTTAAGGTTATGGAATTACTCTTTTCTGGGTTTAGCCATATTAAAATCCAACATCAAAGAAGGACAAAATCCAATGCCTTTCACATGGACCCGGTCATTCCCAGCAGCTGGGAGTCCCAGACGTAGATTCCGAAATCGTCCGCCACCACGATTTTGGCACCTCGCTGACGCGATGAGGAAATGGCGTTAGTCAGCTGCTTAAAAACCCTGTTGATTATGGCGGTGGAAAAACAACTCATAGACATGTTTACATAATTTTACATATCTTCTACTAGGTCCCTACGTTTTAAGTTTTCATATTTCATCATTCTCGGGCCATCTATGTAACAAGTTTGCGTTCTGTAACAATCAGAAATTCCTGACAGGTCGGGGAAGAGACCTCCGAGGCCTGGCGAGGTTTCCGTAACTTTTCGGCATCCTGAGGTTGCGTATTCTTATCATTAAATCCCCTTCTGAAACTACCATTAAACCATATTAAACCACCAATCACCATGAAAGCCACTTGATTCCACTGGGTGAGCTGTCGACAAGGCTCCCAAGCCTAAGGGGTCGCAGCTTAAGGCCCTCGGTTCAAAACCTGCTGTTGGGTTCCCCCGGAAGTCAGCAAGGGGGGAAGCACTGCATAGCATGGGAATGTAATATGGAATTGGATGGAATTGGTCTTAAGTGGGATACACTGACCATTCAATGGCTGTAGTGTAGACATGTGTGGAATACTTAGGATATCATGTTGTCATCAATCAATTTCATTGGAATATGGTGCCATGTTCAATGGATTAGTGATCTGCAACTAGGGAATTCTCACGCTTGAAACCATGTTTTTTGCCCCTAAATATAGGGGGTTCCGGTCAAACCTTCCCTTCATCCAGTGTGTGTCGTTCTATTTCGGCGACCCTGCGACCCTCCATGTCACAGTGGCTGATTTGATAAGTTTGGCGGGTGGGCAAAAATGTTGACTTCATTTGACTTCCATGTTCGGTCAGTCAGACCCATTTGGATAATCTACTATTTCAATATATTTCAATCATCATGACACTCTGCAACAAAGTATGCGGCTTCGAGGTACATAGACATCTATAGACGTTCATGCCTTGGCGCGAACATTGACAAAGTTGATGATAAGAAAATGTGACCAGCAAATCATCGCAATACCCACCAATCCCACAGATCCGAGCTTGGAACACTTGGAACACTTGGAACACTTGGAACACTTGGAACACTTGGAACACTTGGAACATGGTTTCTAAAAAGCCACGGGAGTAATAGGGGTGGATAGTATCCGAAAATGACTTACA